AATAGAGATTTCTTCTTGATTCAGCTTTGGAAGATTGGATGATTCTAAGAATTTATCCATTTCTCCTAGATATTCCAATTTGTTTGGTGTATAGCTTTTCTTAGTATTCTCATATAATCCCTTTGTATTTCTGTGGTGTCTGTTATAATTTCTCCTCTTCCCATTTCTGATTTTATTTATTTAAGCCTTTTCTCTGTTTTTCCTGGTGAGTCTAGTTAAAGGTTTGTCACCTTTGTTTGTCCTTTCAAAGAACCAGCTCTTAGTTTCATTGATTTTTTCCTATTGCTTTTTAAGTCTCTATTTCATTTATTTACACTCTGATTTTTATTGCTTCTTTCCTTCTTCTGATTTTTGGCTTCATTTCTTCTTTATTTTTCTAGTTCCTTTTGGTGTATTGTTAGACAGTTTATTTGAGATTTTTATTCTTTCTTAACGTAGGCCTATATTGCTACAAATTCCTCTCTTAGTGCCACTTTTGCTGTAGCCCACAAATTTTGGTATACTGTATTCTAATTTGTCTCCAGGTATTTTCTGATTTCTCCTTTCATTTCTTTGTTGACTCAATAGTTGTTCAGTAGCATTTTGTTTATTCTCCACATATCTGTGGCTTTTCCATTTTTCTTCTTGTTGATTTCTAGTTTCATGCCATTGTGGTCAGAAAAGATGCTTGGTGTTATTTCAATCTTCTTAAATTTATTGAGACTTGTTGTGGGCTAATATGTGATAGATCCTGGAGAATGTTCCATATACATTTGAAAAGAAAGTGTATTCTGCAGTTTTTGGATAGAATGTTCTGTATACTAAACTACTAAGTCTATCTGGTCTACTGTGTCACTTAAGGCCAATGTTTCCTTATTGATCTACTCTTTGGGTGACCTATCCATTGATGTAAGGGGAGTGTTAAAGTCCCCTACTATTATTGTGTTACTGTCAATTTCTCCTTTCATGTCTGTTAATAATTACTTTATGTATTTAGGTGCTCCTAAGTTAGGTGCATAGATATTTACAAGTGTTATGTCCTCTTGTCAGATTGTTCCCTTTATCATTACATAATGCCTTTCTTTGTCTTTTGTTACAGTTTTTATTTTAAAGTCTATTTTGTCTGATGTAAGTATTGCTACTCCAGCTTTCTTTTCATTTCCATTTGCAAGAAGTATCTTTTTCCATCCCTTCATTTTCTGTTTGTGAGTGTCTTTAGGTCTGAAGTGTGTCTCTTGTACGCAGCATATTAGGGGGTCTTGTTTTTTTATCCATTCAGTAACACTATGTATTTTGATTAAAGCATTTAGTCCATTGACATTTGAAGTAGCTATTGATAAGTATGTACTTACGTGCTTATACATTTTGTTACTTTTTTCTGGATGTTTTTGTAGTTCTTTGTTCCTTTCTTCACTTGCTTTGTTCCCTTGGGACTTGATGGCTTTCTTTAGTGTTACATTTGGGTTTCTTTCCCTTTATTTATTATTTTATGTATTTATTACATGCTCTCAGTTTGTGATGACCTTGAGGTTCATCTATAATAGCCTACATAAATAGCAATCTAATTAAGTTGATTATCTCTTTAAGTCTGACCTCTTACTAAAAGCCCTACACATTTACTACCCCATCCCCACGTTTTGTTTTTGATATCATATTTTATCTTTTTTATTTTTGTGTATCTTTTAACCTCTCATGATGGAAATAGATAATTTCAGCACTTTTGTCTTTTGACCTTCATATTTGATAGGTGGTTGATCTACTACTTTTATATTTGCCTTTATCAGTGATTTTTTTTCTTTGATAATTTTCTTATTCCTATGGGTGTCCTTTTCTTTTCCACTTAAATAAGTCCCTTTAACAATTCTTATAAGGCTGGCTTAGTGGTGATGAACTCCTTTAGTTTTTGCTTATCTGAAAAACTCTTTATCTCTCCTTCCATTCTGAATGATAACCTTGTCAGGTACAGTATTCTTGGCTGTAGGTTTTTTTCTTTTCAGCACTTTAAATATATCATGCCACTCCCTTCTAGCCTGTAAGGTTTCTGCTGAGAAGTCAGCTAATAGCCTTATGGGGTTTCCTTTGTATGTAATTTATTGCTTTTCTCCTGCAGCTTTTAGGATTCTCTCTTTATCGTTAATTCTTGACATTTTAATTATAACAAATCTTGGTGTTGACCTCTTTGGGTTCATCTTGTTTGGTGCTCTCTGTGCTTCCTGTACTTGGATGTCTGTTTTCTTCCCTAGGTTAGGGAAGTTTTCAGCTATTATTTCTTCAAATAGATTCTCTGTCCCTTTGTCTCCCTCTTCTTCTTCTGGGACATCTATAATATGGATATTAGTACACTTGATGTTGTCCCAGAGGTCTCTTAGATTGTGTTAAATCTTTTTAATTCTTTTTTCTGTTCAGCTTGGGTGATTTTCTCTAACCTTTCATCCTCCTTGCTGATCTGTTCTTTTGTATTATCTACTCCGTTGTTGATTCCTTCTAGTGAATTTTTCATTTCCATTATTGTATTCTTCTGTTCTGTCTGGTTCTTTTTATATTTTCCAATTCTTTGTTGAAGTTCTCACTTTGTTCATCTATTCTCCTCCCAAGGTCAGTGAGCATCCTTATGAGTATTAGTTTATATTCTTTATCAAGTAGATTGTTTATCTCTGTTTTGTTTAGTTCTTTTTCTGTTCCCTTATTTGGAACATATTGCTTTGTCTCTTCATCTTGCCTACTTCTCTGTGCTAATATCTATGTATTAGGCAGATCAGCTATGTCTCCCAATCTTAGAAATGTAGCCTCATGTAAGAGATGTCTTACGGGGCCCAGCAATGTGTTCCTCTCTTGTCATTCCTGCCAAATGCTGCAGGAGTGAGCCCTGTGTGAGCTGAGTGTGCTTTTCTGTTGTAGCGGGGTTGCCATTGCTGTGAGCACATGGTAGGCTAGGTTGGGCCCCAGGCTGGTTGGTTGTAAGGCTCAGCTGATTGCAGCTGCTATGGTTAATTTATTGGGTGGGGCAAGCCCTGGCATGGCTGGCTGCAAGGTCTAATCGCACATAACTACTGCTGTTATTCTGTTAAGCGTATCAGGCTCCCAATGTGACTGTTTGCTAGGTTCAGGGGCTCACAATTGCTGCAGGCCCCCAGTGTGGCTTCCTGTGGTGTGTGGCTGTTATCGGCTCTCTTTCGGGCAGGGCAGGCCTCTGGTCAGATCTGGCTATGCTGTCTTGTGGTACACAGCTGCTTCAGGAGTGCAGATGGGTGGAGCTGACCCCAGGCACAGCAGCGTACAATTGTTTCAGGCATTGGAAGATGGAGCAGATCCCCTGTGTGGCTGTTTGCAATGGCCAGTGGCACAAGTCTCCTGTGGACCCACATGGCCCGCTGCCCACAGGCCCACATGTCCCTCCACTGTGGACCCACAAGCATGCCCCAACTTGGATCCTCCTGCCCTACCACCAAGGTCCCACACACCCCACCTACACAGCCCCACAAGTTTGCTGCGGGCCTCCCGGTTGGTGAGGCCAGTCCCTGGGGCAGGTTGCTTGACCTGGCTGCACTCAATTGCCTTAGGTGCTCTACTAGGAGGGGCAAACCCATGCACTAACAGGCTATCAGAAGGAATCCAATGGTGGCTGCCAGCATCTGTGTCAGCATCTGTGTACTAGGTCACAATAACGGCTGCCCCAATTTCTCAGTCCCTGCCTGCTGCCTCTCTGAGATCTGCTCCACGCTTGGCAAGCGAGTCTCTTTTACCAATGGACTATGCACTTTTCTATCCAGGGTTTTTATGTTGGTTTTTGGATCGGGTGAATCTGCGTGGGGGCCATTTAAGAGGTTTTCCTTTCTCTGAAGTTCTATAGTTTTTCTGGGCATATTCCATGTTGGTTTTTAAAGCCAGCAAAGCCAGGTATCATGGGATCTTGGCTGTGCTGCATCTAAGAGCTCAGATGCCTACTGTGGCATAGCTCCCCTGCTCAGATCCCATGCTCCCCTGGGAAAAGCTCCCTACCTTTGAGATGGCTCGCTGCCGGTGAAGCATTGCACCTTGGGTGTGGTTTTTGCCCTCAGCAGGGCTGTATTTCTGCCTCTTCCACCCCATCAGTGTTGTCCCTTGCTGTGGGGGTGCTTTTTATCCAGTTTCCAGATCTTTTTCAGAGGAAATTGTTCTGCAGGTAGTTACAGATTGTTGTGCCCGTGGGAGGAGGTGACTTCAGCTCTTCCTACTCTGCCATCTTCCAAACTTCCTGAAAATGTCAATTTCTTGTACAGGTTTCCGACCGCCGGCTATCTGAAAGTAGTGTTCCTATGAAACCTTTTGTAAACTGAAATGGTGTAAAATGAAAAAACCGTTACCTTAGGACACATCTTGCTCACGGATGCACAAAATAAATCGAGATAAAAAGCACAGATGCCCGCAGACACGGTTCAGAGCTATGGCGGCTTAACGCTGAGATGCTGAGTGTAGTTCCGGGGGGAACCCTTTGGTGGCGCCCCGCCTGCTGCGCGGGGTGCGCTGCCTCCATAATGAACAGCTGGCTGCAAAGCAAACGCTGAATGCTGTTTTCACGTTTTGCCTTTTTTCATAAAACCAAAAATTCTCTTTGGATTTCTTTTGGGTATTGAAGACAGGTACAAAGGCAGGTCTTTTGTAAAAGCAAAGTGGCATAAAGCAAACTTTTGAAAATACTGTACATTAATTTGCTTCAAGAAGCTGCCTCTCTAGTTGACCATGCAGTCGTTTCTTTAGGGCTGTGGTTCTCAAACTTTCATATACAACGGAATCATCTGGATGTCTTGTTAAAACAGACTCCCTCCCTAGAGTTTCGGATTCAGTAGGTGGGGGTGGGGCTGAAGAATCTGAATTTCTAACAAGTTCCCAGGTGACGCTGATGCACACGGACTGGGGAACAACTTAAAGAACAAGAGTTTTAGCACATACGAAAGTAGTGATATTAATTAGGGTTGTATTTCCCGGGACCTCACTGGGACCCACCTTCCCACCCCATTCCAGGCAAGGAGAGGACAAGGTACCTCCTCCAGTGGGTGTGGTCCCAGAGCCAAGTGCAGGTGCTGGCCTCCGGTGCTGCATCACTGCATCCCCATGGCCCAGAAAGGGCTTGTTGACCCTGTGGAGAGAGCACGGGAAACAGGGCCTTGTAGAGTTCAGAGTATATTCTGGGGAGAGAGCAAGACAGGCACAAGGCTGAATGGAAAGATGTACAGTAGGGGCCCTGGCAGAAATGGTAAGGGCCAAGGCCCAACGATGCCCACTGTGCCACTCGTTTCTCTGGAGAGACCTGAAAACCATTCACTAATTCATTTTAGATATTTAGTGAGTGGCTACTGAGCATCTGGAGCTGTGCAAGCCACCAGGATACATATCAGTGAATAAGACAGGCAGGGCCCCATCCTTCTGGAGCTATCAGTCAAGTGAATTGATGAGTCCCATGTATTCACTGAATGCAAGGAGACGCTCAAGCCCAGAGGGGGCACGGCACTTGTCCAAAGTCACACAGTGAGCTGGGGCAGAGTCAAGACCTGATCTCAGGTCTCCTGGCTCCCACAGTAACGATTTTCCTATTACACCTGCTGCTTCCCTGGACCACACAAATTGCTGTTTTTTGTGCCAGTAATGAAGATTATCATGTACACTCCCCCTTGGACAACGGTTTTTACCAGGAGTGCCAGGGTTCATACTCTAAGGAGCACATCAGAATTTCAGGGGAATGAGAAGGAGTGTGATTTCTTTCCATTTAATTAAAAAAATAGCAATGATGAATGCCTATTATAAAAAAGTCAAATGGTACAGAAGTACCTAAGTAAAAAAGGAACATCTCTATTCATACCCTCCCCCTGCCTCATCCCAATCTAAGTCTTCTCCCCACTTCTTTCCTCAAAAGTAACTACTTTTAACAGGGTGGTGTGGTTAAGCTCAGACCTTTTCTATATGTTTATAAATGTTACATATAATAACTTATAAAGATATATATAAACAGGTTATTTTTAAAACCTTGAAGAGTTTTAAAAAACACATTCAATATTATTTTAAAAATTGTGTGTGGAAAGTGAAAAAAGGACACTCCTTTTGTGATGGAAACTGCAGAGAGAAGCACTGAACAAACTCCTGGCCGATGGGGCATGATGCAGAGGCCTTGTTCTGGTACGCATATAAAGACAGGTAGCGGGAGGAGGGGCAAAGATGGCGGTAGAGCTAAAGCAGAGGAAGTCTTGTTTGCAACATGGCTGGCGGGCTCTCACCCATGGTGGAAATGGTGGGCACAGTTCGCTAGGTCACCCATGCAGTGCACGGCCGTGAAGCCTGTCACCAACAGGCTGAGGGGACCCAGCTGGAGATGGGAATGTGGGCGGAAGAGAGAAAGGTGTGTAGGTATGTCAGAATGAAAAACACAGGACAAAAACGGATTTGTCAAGGAAATGAGAAGACAAGCCATAAACTGGGAGAAGATATTTGCCAAAGACATATCTGAAAAAGGACTGTTATTTTTCTTAAAACCCAACAATAAGAAAATTAACAATGCAACAAAAAACGGGCAAAAGACCTGAATAGATGCCTCCTCAAAGAAGGCAGATAAGCATATGAAAAGATGCTTCACGCCATACATTATCAGAGAAATGCAAGTTAAAATAACATGGAGATATCACTATACACCTATTATAATGGCGAAAATCCAAAATACTGACAACATCAAGTGCTGACGTGGATGTGGAGCAAGAGGAATGCTCGTACGCTGCTGGTGAGAATGCACAGGGGTACAGCCAATTTGGAAGACAGTTTGGTGGTTTCTTACAAAACCAAACATACTCTTACCATATGATTCAGCAATGGCATTCCTTGGTATTTACTCAAAGGAGTTCAAAACTTATGTCAACACAGAGACCTGTGCATGAATGTTTATAGCAGCTTTATTTATAATTGCCAAAACTTGGAAGCAGACAATTTATCCTTCCGTAAGTGAGTAGACAAACTCTGGTACGTCCAGACAATGGAATACTATCCAGTGCTAAAAAGAAATGAGCTATCAAGCCATAAAAAGACATGAGGGAACCTTAAATGCATATTACTAAGTGAGAGAAGCCAATCTGAAAAGGCTACATACTGTATGATTCCAACTAGATGACATCGTGGAAAAGGCAAAACTACAGAGATAGTAAGAAGATCAGTGGTTGCCAGGGGTGCAGGGTAAGGTGAAGCACAGAGGATTTCTAAGGCAGCGAAATGATCTTGTATGTTACGATAATGGTGGATACGTTCACACATTTGTTCAAACCCATAGAAGGTACAACATCAAGAGTGAATCTTAATGTAAACTATAGACTTTGAGTGATAATGATGTATTAACGTAGATTCATCGATTGTAACAAATGTACCACTTGGGCATGAGATGCTGGTAGTGGGGCAGGCTGTGAGTGAGTGGGGGCAGAAGTATATGGGAAATCTGTACTTTCTGCTCGATACTGCTGTGAACCTAAAACTGCTCTAAAAAATTGAAGTCTATCAAAACAAAACAAAGCACCTGAATATTTAAGAAATGTAGACCGGGGCTCTAAGAACTCTGCAGTTTGTATTATTATTGATGCAAGTATATAACTAATCTCACATGGGCAGACAATAAGACACTACAGGGAGTAGACCAAGGCTGGAGCAGTAGGTGGCCACCAGCAAAAGAGAAATAGGATAAAGAAGGGCTCTAAGCCCTCCATTCATGGGCTCCATCGGCATACTAAAGACTAGTACACCAGATGGCTGTATATATTTGTGCTCATGATAACTGCAAACAAAATGATGGTAACTGTTGTAAAATAAACAAATGAATAAAGAGAATTTGTAAGTGTCCCCCCCAACCCCTTACTCCACCATGCGGCTTGTGAGGCAATGGAAGGAGCCCTGTGCTGGGAGCCCAGTGCCTGGTTCCCATTCTGGCATTGCCTCTGGTTTGCTGTCCCACCTGGAATAAGTCCCCTCCCCTCTCTAGGCCCATTTTCTATTTGTGTAAAGTGGGCTTGCAAGCCTCAAGGCTCTCTTTTACTTCTTAAGGTTCTAAGCGTTAGTTCCTGGGAGCAAAACTTCCTGCACATTTCCGAAGATAAGAGTAATTAATTAGAGGGACCATGGAGGATGTTGCCTGAGTGCTATCATCTCATTTAATCTACAGAACAACTCTGTTCGCAGCCCCATTTTACAGATGGGGTGACTGAGGCTCAGGGATCTGGGCCAGTGGTGGCATCAGGATTCAAAGGCAGACTCCTCTGCCCTCCCTCGCAGCCACTCTGCAGGGAGAGCCTCAAGCCTCTGTTGCCTGGGAGAGGAGAACAGAGAAGATAAAATAAAAGTCCTTTGTGCTAGACAGGAAATGGGTCTGAGCATGGAGATCTCCCAGTCACCGCTGACGTCACAGAGAGTGATGACAGAGCTCAGAGGTGCAGCAACCTTCAGAGAATGGGTGGGGTGGAGGTTTCAGCAACCTGGAGGAAGAAAGGCGGAGGCCGGACTGTAGGAGCAAAACTGACCTCCTGAGATAAGAAGGCATTTAAGGGAAGACAATACCGACTTCCAAGTCAAAGGAGAAGTTCAAGGGTTACCGCTCCACAAGACTGTCCAGAGAATTCATAACCTTTTCTTCTTGTTCTGAATCTCAGATTCCTTTCTCATGAAATAAACTGATCCTTTCAGAAAAAGAGCAGATATTCATCATTAGGCTTGGCCTACGATTTCATGAGGTTTGTGGAATTCCTAAGGGCCTGTGGAGACTAACGAGAGGAGAGTAATCACTAACCAATAATTATGGTAATAATAATAGCGGAAACCATTTAATTGTCAAGTACTCTAACGTTTATGAAACAACTTTACAGACGTTACTTAATCTTGCCAATAAATAGGCTACCAGTTCCCATTTTTACAGGTGAGAAATCTGAGACTCAACCGAGCCAGGGGAGGGAGTGGCTGCACTTGGGCAGATTTCTTTTTAGGACAATGCAATTTGTTCTAAAATTAGATTGCGGTGATGGTTGCACAACTTTGTAAATTTATTAAAATTCATTAGCTTGTACACTTGAAATGAGTACATCTCATGGAATGTAAGTTATACCTCAATAAAGCTGTTAAAAAAGCTGCCAGCCATGGAAAATGGCCAAAGGGCTTGCTCAAGCTGGCATGGCTCACAGGTGGCAGAGCTGGGTGAACGCAGAATTTCCAGCTCCCAGGAGTGCAGGGGACTCCTGAGGGACAAATGGTCACAAGGACACGACGTCAAACTGTGTCTGGTGTCACCTGAGTGAGGCTTGCTTTCAGGCTAGTGTCAGAACACCAAAGGCATCACCACCCACTTTCCCCCAGCAATCAGGACCACTGGCCCACTCTCTTTCAAGACGCCTGTGTTCTTCGTGGTGGGGGGTGCCCAAGACCCCGGGCCAGTGTTGCCTTTCCCTATGTGGATCAGGGTTTGCAGCAGCCTGAGGAGGGAAAAGAAGGGAGACTTGAAAGAAGCCGGTCACTGCTGACCTTGGCCCAGAACCAACTGCTTCGGGCAGAGCTGGTAGACAGGCTCAGGGTGTGGGTGGATCTCTCAACGCCGTAGGAGTCATAGTGGGAAGCAGCTGGGACACCAGAGTGCCTGGTATAGAGAGGAACTGTGCGAATGTGGGAGCTGGTGGATGGATGAAGCGTGTGACCAAAACCAAACCAAACCCAACCAAACCCCAATGTGCCATGAGTCTGTATTTACAAAAAATATATCTAGAAATAGGGAGTCGATAGCCTTACTTGGTTCTGCAGAACTCAGGCCAGACCTGGACTATAGACTTAGTTATCTTTTAAAAAATACAGTTTATCAAAATAAGTATTATATGTACATGGCAAAAACACAAATACTGCAAAACTTTATAGAGTAAAAAATAAACCTTCCCACCCATGATCCCTGGAATCTCAATTCTCCATTCCAGAAACAACCACTGTCAACAGTTTCTTGTGTGGCTTCTCTCTCTCTCTCCCTTTCTCTCTCTCACTCTCTCAATATAGATAGATAGATAGACTTTGATATGCACATATAGGTATATATGTACCACACACACACTGACACTTTTTACGGTATTAAACTCACTTCCACTC